ATATATCAGAACATGCAAAACACATAATACAGGCTTAATTCAAAACTTTAGGATCATAGGAATATTAAGGACAATTACATTATTAAGGTACTCTATTTGAAAAGCAAGTGTCACAAGTATTGTCATTAGAACAAGTTACACATTTAGCTAAACAATCCTCACATTATCTATTTGCCGTATTACCCCATTTGCCAGCAGGACAATTATTTAAACATAAAAACCATCTAAAAAACGCGGCTCTAAACATGCTTAGCAAGTTTTGTCATCACAAATAGAACATCCAACAGATACATCAGAACATGCAAAACAAGATTATTAGTAATTCAAGTTATCATAATTGTGAGCAGGACATCCACAATCAGGTGCAACTCTATTCTGAAAGCAAGTGTCACAATTGTTGCATTAGAACAAGTTGCACATTTAGCTAAACAATTTTCGCATTATCTGTTTGCCGTATTACCCCATTTGCCTGCAGGACAAGGATTTAAACATGAATTTCCATCTAAAAAACGCGGTGCTAAACATGCTTAGCAAGTTTTGTTATCACAAGTAGAACATCCAACAGATATATCAGAACATGCAAAACAAGCTTATTAGTAATTCAAGTTATCATAATTATAATCAGGACATCCACAAGCAGGTGCAACTCTATTCTGTAAGCAAGTATCACAATCGGTTGCATCAGAACAAGTTTTACATTTATTATCACAATCATGGCAAGTTCTAGTCGTAACATTTTTATATTTATTATTTGGACAGACTGAAACACATTAAAAATCATTATAAAAATATCCATTTTTGCATAAATCACAAGAATCTTTTTTTGTACATTTTTCACAATTTGCAATACAATCAATACACCTACTTGCATCTAAATACTTGCCTTCTTTACATTTACTACAAGTAGTAGCGTCAGTGCATTCTAAGCATTCAGCCATACATTCATTAGCATAAATTATAAATTCGCTTATACCTATAGATTCAGTATCAGGATTTTCATCCATGTTATTAATAAATTTAACATTAATAATTTAGTCACTAGTTTTATATTCGAAATTCGCAGATTAAGTGTCTTCAGAGGTAGCAAATCCACATAAGTCTTTTGACCCTTTAACTTTAGATTCACGATATGCCTCATTTTCATTTATAGTAATTATAAAAAACTCACCATTATCCCATGAATCAACCATCATAAACATGAAAGTTAATTAATAACTGTATACAGGATTAATTGATTCATATTTATTGGTTATAACACAACCTTTTCCGCATACATTATATCCTCCTAAAAGATTATATGAACCACATTTAGAAATCATAGAACTTCCTTTATATCCTAACATTTAAAAACCACATGTTTAAACATCTGCTTATTAAAAATCACCAAATAAACATTATTACAACTATTTTTATAATTGAGAAGATACAAATAAGTTTAATATTAATAAAAAAAATTTTTTGATCATGATTAATTATATGTCTATAATTGAGTTTTTAAATAATACTATTTACTTTTTTATTTTAATAATAAATAATTTAATTTTCTTATATAAATTTAATATTATTTTAAAATAAAAAAATTAAAATATAAATAAATATTTATACAATCAAAAAATTAAATATATTTTAAAAAATATAATAATTTAATTTATAATAATATACTTTAAATATATTAATATTGATATCTTCTATAGCTAAAATAATTTTTTTATTTATTTTTTGTTTTATGGATAAATAAATATTAATTTTAAAGATAGCAATAAAATATATATAATGTATTTGATTTGAATAATTATATAATAATAAAAAAAAATTTGTGTAATTAGTTTCTAAAAGAAAAAAATAATATTTCATTGATTAATGATTATAATAATAATTATTTTTTAAAAAATTATATTATAAAGAAAAATATAAATATTAAATTTATACTAATATAATTTTATTAAATAATTATAATAAAATTAAATAAGATTTAGAAAAAAAAAAAAAATTGTGTAAAAAACAAATATATATATATATATATATATATATATATATATATTTATATATTTATAATTATATTTTTTATATATTTAATAAAATAATATCTTTTTAATAATAATTATATACAATATTAATATAATTATAAAATTTTGAATATGAAATTAAATTTAATATAAAAATAATTATATTATTTTATACAATATAATATAACTCATAAATATATTTAATAATAATATATTTTATTAAATTTGTTAATTTTTTTTTTTTATATTTTATAAATATTTTATTGATAATAACTTTATATATACTTTATTCCATTTATATATATATATTTATTTTTATAAATATATTATTATTTTTATAATTTTTTTTTTTTTTTTTATTTTAAACAATAATATATATCTTTTTTTTTGATTATATTTTTTCAACTAAAAGTAATTTTTATATTTTTTTTAATATTAATATCAACTTATAAAATTTTTAATTTAAAAAATTTAATTTTTAATATCTTTTTTATATTATCAACAATTAATAATTTTTTATACAAATATTTTCCTTTTTATTACTTTTCTATTAATAATTTATTTTTAACAAACGCAATATACATTATTAATAATAATATTTTTAAAAAAAATATATTTATATATATTTATTTAGATTTAAATTAAAAATAAGAAATTATAATATATATATATATATATATATATATATATATATTTATAAATATATTTATATTATTATTATAATTATTAGATTAATTTATTTATTAATATAACTAATAATTAAAAAATTTTCTAAATATTTATTGATATCATATATATTTATTATTAATTTTATTTAAATAATATTTTAAATAAATAAAAATTTATAATTATTTATTATAACAAATAAATAATACAAATTGTATGTAAAAGAAAAAAAATTTTATTAATATTATTTTAATAGTTAAAATATATAAAATGAAAAATTATAAAATTATATATATATATTGTTGGTATAAAAATAAAATATTTTATGTACACAATATAATATTTATATATTTATTATACATTAATATTATTAAAAATAATTTATTTATTCTTTTTAAAATACATTATTTATTTAAAAATCTATTTAATTTCTTATATATATTTTTTATGTAAATATTTTTATATTATTTAAAAATATTTTTAAGAAATATAAAAAAAATATAAATATATATTTTTTATGTAATAATATAAATAAATAATTATATAATCTATATTTTTATTTACAAAAAAATTATTTGTATTTAATTTAATATTATCATATTTATTTAAGTACTTAAAAAATGAAATAAATTTTAAAAATAAAAAATTTAAAACAAATATTTTTTATTTATATTAACTTTTTATTTTCAAATAAATATATTAAGAAATATTTTATATATAAATTTAAATAATTTTTATATTAAGAATAAAAAGTTTTTATTTTTTATATCATAATTTTTAAATATATATATTTTTTATTTTTATATATTTTATTAATATATTAAAGAAAATATAATTTTATTTTATAAAAAATGAATGTATTTTAATTTTTAAATTCTTAACATTATAAATAAATTACGAAATTCCTTTATTTGAATTATAAATAAAAAAAAATTCGAATATTTTTTTAAAAATCTTTAGATAATTTTATTATATAATAATAATTATATAAATAAAAAATTATAATAATTTTTGAATATCATTCGATTAGTTTTTTTTATAATTTTGAAAAAAAACTAAGAATAATTAGTTAATACATATTACTTGTTCAAAGTATACCTGTAATTTTTATTTTTTAAAAAAGAAATAAAAAAATATCAAGATTAAACAATCATTTCAATTATTGTTTTTAAATAAATAATTTAAATTAACCATATATAATTATAAATTAAAAAATTAAAAATATTTGATAAAATAAAAGAATAATTAATAAAAATATTATTTATTATCAATAAAGTTTAAATATTTAATTTTTATAAAATATATATATAAAAATAAGTAAAATTAATTCTTAATAAAAATCTAAAAAAATAATAATTATTAAAGTTGTCAATTTTAATATTTTTTTTTATATATATTCATTAAAAAAATTTCTAAATTAAGAATATTAAATAACTTCATTTTAATCATATAGAATTTTTTATTAATTTGATTTGAAATCATTTAAATAATTAACTTATATTTAATAAATGCAGAAATAATATAATAAATAAAAAGATCAAAAAAAATTACTAAAAAATAAAAAGGTACCCAATTATTGTATTTATCATAAAATTTGTTTTAAATACTAATGCAAATAATGTAAAGGCAAATTATGACTATAAAAAATAAAATGAGATAAATTGAATATTTATATATTCTTTTATTTAATTTCTAGACACTTTCTATTAAAATAATTAATAAATTAATACTTAATAATAAAAAAAAATTAGCTAAGATTATTAAGACAGTTTTTAAATCATAAAATAGAATAGAATTAAAAGTAATAAGAATAATATATTTTACATATTATTCAGTTATTCTAAAAGATCTATTTAAAAATTCATCAAAAATAATAAATATTTAAATTAATTCATGTAAACTTATAACTTAAATAATTCTGCTTTCTTTTAAAAAAGTTTAAAAAATAATAGATTCATTTATCTAATTATTAACAGATATTTTATTATTTATTTATAATAAAGAGCTATTTCTAGTAAATAAATTTGATTCAATTTTTTATTGCTATTATTATTTTAATTAATTTTCACTTTTTTAAACTTATTTTCCCCTATTTTTTGTTTTTTCTTCATATTTATAGTCATCTTTTTTTAGATCTTAATTTATTTATTAATTTTACAATGGAATTAAATTAGCTTATTTTTTTATTTTTTTAATAAAAGTATTTTTTTAATGTTCGGCCTGATCATTTTCCGGAATCCAATCTTTTTGAGGTTATATTCCATCTTCTTAGTCATTTTATTATAAATCAGCTTTAGAATATTTTTAAGAAGATAATCTACTAATTTTAAGTTTAATAAATGTTTCTATCTTATCCTATGTTATCAATTAATCATCTCCTTTTTATTGACTTTAAGATATTAGCCTATTATTTTATATTATGTTAGATTAAATTTCTAATGGTACTATTTTTTATATTTTTTCTGATTATTTTTATTTTGAATTCAAAGAACCTAATAAGTTGATTTATTATGTATTGTTTTCATTTTTTACTAAAATATTTTAACATTTTAATTAATCTAAGACTTAGCTATCAAATTACTAATTACTCTAATAAATTTCTTTATTTTTTTAAAATTCTGATAAAGAATCTTTAAAAAATAAAATTAAAAAAATATGTATAAATAATAAAAAATAAAATTAAGATTTATTGTAAATATAACTTATTTAATAAAAATTTGATAAAACTATTTATAAAATACTTTTTTTTTTTAATATAGTTAACAAAAAAAAATTATTATTTAATTATAAATAATTTTTTATTTAAAAAATACATTATTTTTCATTAGGAGTTTTCTCAAGATCTTAGTTTTGTATTTTAATACTTTATTCATTTTTTTAAAAAATATTATCTAATTATTTATTTTGTTCATCATTTATATCCTTTTTAAAAATAATTTCTGTGATTTAATTTCTTTTTATTGTGCTTTATTACATTTTTTAGTTTTGATTATTATCGATTTATTATAAATATATAAATAACATCAGATAAATTATAGTAGTAGCAACTAAAGTCCATACAGAAGCATACAAATACCAATCATTTATACGAGACACTTTAAATATTCCATTTATGTCATTGACAAGAGTTTGTTTTCCTTGGGTTTTGCATTAACATATAAATTATTAAATTTTATTTTAGTCATTAGTTTAATATAAAAGTATGCAATCTTAAGAAATCCATCTGCCTTAAATATTTTATATACAAGCATAATTCCCAACATTATCTACAGCCTCAGATAAATTATAGACGTTATATAAAGGAGCATCAATTTATATTTATTATTAATTAAATTAAGAAGTTATTAGCTTTTCATTTATGGTAAAATGATGATTTTTTGAGTAAGGGAAATCGTCATCATAAGTTATTACAGAAGAAGGATATTCTAAATAATTTATATAGTATTATAGATTTTTTTGTTCTTTTTCTATATTTATACTATTATAGTATACATTTGAAACTAGTTTCAAATATTTTTCTTATAAACCTTTTATGTTATTGTTTCAGTGGAAATTATATTTAAAAATTTATAGGATTCTCGTTTGAATCAAAACATATCCATGTTTACGATATCATTTTATTATGTGCATGTATTATTTATTTAATAATAAATTTTACTAATTATAAAATG